TTTAGTAGAGATGGGGTTTCACCGTGTTGACCAGGATGGTCTCGATCTCTTGACCTCGTGATCCACCCGCCTCGGCCTCCCAAAGTGCTGGGATTACAGGCTTGAGCCACCGCGCCCGGCGAGATGGAGTCTCATTCTGTCATGTAGGCTGGAGTGCAGTGGCACCAATCTCAGCTCACTGCAGCCTCCACTTCCTGGGTTCAGGTGATTCTTCTACCTTAGCCTCCCAAGTAGCTGAGATTCCAGGCGCCTGACACCATGCCCAGCTAATATTTTTGTATTTTTAGTAGAGATAGGTTGTTACTATGTTGGCCAGGCTGGTCTTGAACTCTGGACATCAGGTGATCCGCCCACCCTGATCAGCCTCCTGAAGTGCTGGGATTACAGGGGTGAGCAACCACACTCAGGCCTGTTGTGTATTTGTTCTGCTTTGTTCTGTTGGCCTAACTCATGTTGGTATAATCATGAGCCCCCTCACATTTCCTATCTTCCCTTCCTTTTCAGAATTCCTTTGTTTCCCTCCTACATAATGAAAATGTTAAACTTACCTCTATTATTGCCTAACCTCAATCATTCTCACCACCCATCTAGGTAAGCCTCCCCCGCCCCCCTTTTTTTTTTTTTTTTTTTTTGAGATAGAGTCTTATTCTGTCACCTGCCAGGCTGGGCGTGCCGTGGCGCGATCTTGGCTCACTACAACCTCTGCCTCCCGGACGGATACAAGCAATTCTCCTGCATCAGCCTCCCAAGTAGCTAGGACTACATGCTTATGTCACTACACGCAGCTAATTTTTTGTATTTTAGTAGAGTCGGGATTTCACCATGTTGGGCAGGCTGGTTTTGATCTCCTGACCTCATGATCTGCCCACCTTGGCCTCCCAAAGTGCTGGGATTACAGGTATTAGCCACTGTACCCAGGCCGTAAGCCTCTTTTTTGCCTTGTCCTTTTTTAAAAAAATGTTATTTTTAAAATTTCAATAGCTTTTGGGATACAAGTGCTTTTGGTTACATGGATGAATTGTATAGTGGTGAAGTCTGAGATTTTACTGCACTCATCACCCAAGTAGTGTACATTGTGCTCAATATATAGTTTTTTTGTTCATCACCCCCCTCCTGCTGTCTCCCTTTCTGAGTCTCTATTGTCCATTATACCACTCTATGCCTTTGTGTACCCATAGCCTAGCTTCCAGTTATAAGTGAGAACATGTGGTATTTGGTTTTCTGTTTCTGAGTTACTTCACTTAGAATAATGGCTTCCAGCTTCATCCAAGTTGCAATAGAAGACATTATTTAATTTTTTTTTTGTGGCTGAGTAGTATTCCATGGCATATATACCACATCTTTTTTTTTTTTTTAGACAAAGTCTTACTCTGTTGCCCAGGCTGGAGTGCAGGGGTATGATCTCAGCTAACTGTAACCCCCACCTCCTGACTTCACGTGATTCTCTTGCCTCACCCTCTCAAGTAGCTGGGATTACAGGCGCCTACCACCATGCCTGTCTAATTTTTTATTTTTAGCAGAGATGAGGTTTCACTACGTTGGTCAGGCTGGTCTCAAACTCCTGACCTCAGGTGATCCACCTGCCTTGGCCTCCCAAAGTGCTGGGATTACAGGTGTGAGTCAGCACGCCCAGCCTGCTACATTTTCTTTATCAACTGATTAGTCAGTGGGCACTTAGATTGATTCCATATCTTTGCAGTTGTGAATTGTGCTGCAAAAGACATATGCTTGCAGTCTTTTTGGTATATTGACTTCTTTTCCTTTGTGTAGATATACTCGGTAGTGGAATTGCTGGATCAAATGGCAGATCTACTTCTGGTTCTTAAATCTCCATCCTGTTATCCATTGAAGTTGTACTAATTTACTTCCCATCAGCAGTGTGTAAGCATCCTTTTCACCACATCCATGCCAACATCTATTGCTTTTTGATTTCTTAATAATGGTCATTCTTCCAGGAGTAAGGCAGTATCTCATAGTGGCTTTAATTTGCACCTCCCTGATGATTAGTGATGTTGAACATTTTTTTTCATATGCTTGTTGGTCATTTGTATATATTCTTTTGAGAAATGTCTCTTCATCTCATTTGTCTACTTTTTGATGGGATTTGTTTTTTCTCGTTGATTTGTTTGAGTTACTTGTAGATTCTGGATATTAGTCCTTTGTCTGATGCATAGTTTGCAGATATATTCTGCCATCTTGTAGATGTGTCTTGCTCTTTTCATTGGAAATTTCCAAAAGTTTGTTGTTTATATCCTGTTGGCATCAAGTACACACATGCACCCACCTCTGTTACTCCTGTTACATCATAGTTTCATCTGATGATCATTTTTTCTGAATTTATTTTTCCCCTATAAAAGAACTAATGGGCCAGGCACAGTGGCTTCTACCTGTAATTCCAGCACTTTGGGAGGCCAGGGCGGCCGGATCACCCAAGGTCAGGAGTTAGAGACTAGCCTGGCCAATATGGTGAAACCCCATCTCTGCTAAACATACAAAAATTAGCTGGATATGGTCATGCATGCCTGTAGTCCCAGCTGCTAGAGGGGCTGAGGCAGGAGAATCACTTGAACCCAGGAGGCAGTAGCTGCAGTGGGCCGAGATCGTGCCACTGCACTCCAGCCTGGGCGACAGAGCAAGACACAATGTCAAAAAAGACCCTAAAAAGAACTGATGACACTTGCATTTGCTCTTTATTTTTTTTTAGGCAGTGACAAAAGAAGTAAGAATGCAAAATTAAGTGTTAAGAAGAAAATTTCAGAATTTTCAGAAGCAGACATGGATCTGTCGGGAAAAACCCAAAGAAACATTTCTCAAGGTCAAGATTTTGGGGAAGGCTGTGAGCTCCAAGGCAAGCTGGATAGAAAGCAGGGAATTCCCATGAAAGAGATACTAGGACAGCCCTCTTCAAAGAGGACAAACTGTAGTGAAGTCTCATATGTCCACAAAAAATCCTCCACTGGAGAGAGACCACATAAATGTAATGAGTGTGGGAAAAGCTTCATTCAGAGCGCACATCTTATTCAACATCAAAGAATACACACTGGGGAGAAACCATTCAGGTGTGAGGAATGTGGGAAAAGCTACAACCAACGCGTGCACCTAACTCAGCATCAGCGCGTCCACACAGGTGAGAAGCCCTACACCTGTCCTTTGTGTGGGAAAGCCTTCAGAGTGAGGTCCCACCTTGTTCAGCATCAGAGTGTGCACAGTGGGGAGAGACCCTTCAAGTGTAATGAATGTGGGAAAGGCTTTGGCAGGCGTTCCCACCTGTCTGGACATCTGCGACTCCACTCCCGAGAGAAATCCCATCAGTGTCGTGAATGTGGAGAAATCTTTTTTCAGTATGTTAGCCTGATTGAACATCAGGTGCTCCACATGGGTCAGAAAAATGAAAAAAGTGGCATCTGTGAGGAAGCATATAGTTGGAACTTGACAGTGATTGAAGACAAGAAGATTGAGTTGCAAGAGCAGCCTTATAAGTGTGATATCTGTGGAAAAGCCTTTGGTTACAGTTCAGACCTCATTCAGCATTATAGAACTCATACTGCAGAGAAGCCCTATAAATGTGATATATGTAGAGAAAATGTTGGCCAGTGTTCCCACACCAAACAACATCAAAAAATCTACTCCAGCACAAAGTCCCATCAATGTAATGAATGTGGCAGAGGCTTCACTCTGAAGTCACATCTTAATCAACATCAGAGAATCCATACTGGTGAGAAACCTTTTCAATGTAAAGAATGTGGAATGAATTTCAGCTGGAGTTGTAGTCTCTTTAAACACCTGAGAAGCCATGAGAGGACAGATCCCTTAAATACCTTAAGTGTACAGGGGTCTCTGCTGTAGAATAGCTCTTACTCAATTTTAGAGAAGCCTTCCTGGAGGGAAACCATACTCCATAATGAACGAAGTAACAGCTTCAAGCATTTTTCCAGTGTGACCATCAGACCTACAGATTGAAACCCTTTAGTTAGAACTCAGTCTTTAGGAACGTCGGAGAACCCACAATAATAGATACCTGTTCACGTTCCCCACAGAGAAATGCTTAGATAGCATCTTCATGCTTGGGACTCTAGACAAGAAGAGAATCCATGGACATGGTCGAGAAAGGAAAGCCTTCGGATGACATTCAGTCTTCACTTGAACTCAAAACTGACACTAGGAACATCCTCATGAGTTCAGTAGAAATAAGCTTTATTGTAGCTTCTGCCTTGTTTGATGGCCTATCTGTTCAGGGAAGCACACAGTGAAAGAATTCTTCAGCATGATGTCCATTTTGGTACCTCATCAATGAACCTTTTCTAGAAATTATTATTCCAACCACTAGAATATCCCAGTCACTATTCCCACTTTGAGCATTAGCCCCTTGGAAAAGAAACAGATTTAAAGTATCTCTATCTTGGCAAAATTGGGGTTCAGGGGCTGGATGGTATGTGTTCCTGCTGCCTTATTCAATCTATAACTTATCTGTGAAATGCTCTACCTTGTTTTTGGTTTGATTCTACTGGCATCAAGGTTTAGCCAGTAGAAGGAGGAGTTCAACTTGTCAGTTCAGGAGAAACTGTGCTGGTCAGTCACATCTTAAGGCGAAGGGAGAGGGACCTTATGGGAACAGAGAAGTCAGGCAAAACTGTGGACTGTTTTATCTTGTATCACCCACAGGACAACTACATCCATAGAAGGAAATGGACCAAAGTGAATGAAGAGTGGTCCCGGCCAGGGATGGTGGCTCATGCCTGTAATCCCAGCACTTTGGAAAGCTGAGGTGGGCAGATCATGAGGTCAGGAGTTCAAGACTTGCCTGGCAAACATGGTGAATCTCCATCTTTACTAAAAAATAAATAAAAATTAGCTGGGTGTGGTGGCATGCACCTGTAATCCTAGCTACTTGGGAGGCTGAGGGAGGAGAATTGCTTGAACCCAGGTGGCGGAGGGTGCGGTGAGCTGAGATCACACCATTGCATTCCAAAGCAAGACTCTGTCTCAAAAAAAAAAAAATCCTGGTCCTAGCAGTATGTGTGCTGACTCCTGTGTACCCCAGAAATAGGCCTCTCCTATAGAGTGGTGATACAGTATGAGTTTCAATTTGCATTGCAGTTGGGATTGAAAGTAATCAGTCATGAGCAGGCAGGCATCAGGTCCCTATAGTCCTGCCTTGCAGGAAGGTCTGGGTGGGAGTTTTGAGTGAGAAAGAGAATGACATGCATGAGAAAGTTCCCCTGAGCCTGTTTGCTAGGGAGAGGGAGTGAGTGCTGTTGGACACTACTCAGGCCCTGCTTCTGCTGACTTGCCTGGCTTATAATAAATGCCCAGTAAATATTCCTTGACCATATGGGTCATACACTGTGGTGCCCTGTCCAGACCCCTCTGCCAAGCTGGGACCCCACCCCCAGCTGCCCTGAGTTTGGGCAGCAAGTGCTCACAGCTGTGCTTCTCCAGAAACTGAAGAATCAACCTCGGGTGGTGGGAGCCATCTCACCCAAGAGTCACGTCTCCACACCCCAACGTCTAGTTCATTTGACTGAAGCATGGAAAACTCCAGGGTGCTATGACTGCCCTGGCACCCATGGATCAGGCCAAGCTAGACTTTATCTGAGCCTACATCCATGCTCAGCTCTATCCCTTCTCTATCCTGTTTCATTCCTTCCCTCAATGGCATTTCCGAATAAATACGCTGTCAATCACGTGGCTCTGAATCCCTGTCTCAGGTTCTGCTTTAGAGAACCTGATCTAAGACATTTGTTGCCACAAGTGGTCCTAGGAAGCTGCTGTGAGAGGGTATTGTGGAGTTGGTCACTCACCAGGAGGGAGTGAGGACCCCCATCACTGTTAATAGTCCCTGGCATGTAGTACCTGTCCAGTCACTAAGTCATTCGCTTGTGGGGAACTGGGATGGAATACAGGTGGAAAGGGATGTATTGACTTATAGAGGTTTGGGACAAACAGGAAAATAGGATTATGGAATTGGGTGGCTCCTGCTGAAAGTCACTGACTCCTTGAAGAGAAATGACAGGGCAAATAACCAATTTAATGCCAGGTGTGTGTCAGAGGACCTTCTTGGTAGCTTTTTAAATTTTTTATAGACAGGGTCTTGTTCTGCTGCCCAGGCTGGAGTGCACTGGTGCAATCAGAGTTGACTGTAGCCTTGACCTCCCAGGCTTAAGTGACCTACCCACCTCAGCCTTCTGAGTAGTTGGGACTACACGCACATGTCACCACATGTGGCTAATTTTTTTTTTTTTTAAACATTTTTGGAGAGAGGGTATCTCCTTATGCTGCCCAAAATGGCTTCAAACTCCTGGGCTCAAGTGATCCTCCAGCCTCAGTCTCCCAAAGTGTTGGGATTACAGGCATGAACTATGGCTTCTGGCCTTGGAGTGATTCTTGAAAGCTTAGAAGAGTCAGTATTAAATGAAGTAGAGATGACAAAACCATGGTGGACTTAACAAAGGGATCCAAAGATTCATACATAAACAAGCTAGGATGGAACTAGAAGATGAGACCAAACAACCCACCTTCAGTTATGTTCCTCAGGAGGGTCTGGAGAGTATTCTGTTTACCAAGGTTACAACGAATGCCCTCACTGGGGGGCCATGAGAATCACTGAGAAGCTTGGTAGTGGCTATCCTCATTTGTAGGGGCTGGTTATATCATTAACAGTCACCCCAGATCATTCACATTGCAGCCAGATGTGCAGCCATGGGCATGTGACCATGGGGACCATTGGTCCTAAGATGTCTGTGTGCGTGTGTGTGTGTGTATGTATGTATGTATAGAGAGAGAGAGAGAAGAGTTGTTTTGAGACAGGGTCTTGCTCTCTCACCCAGGCTGGAGTGCAGTAGCATTGTTACAGCTCACTGCAGCCTCAACTTCCTGGGTGCCAGCGATCCTCCCACCTCAGCCTCCCAAGTAGCTGGGACCAGGCATGTGCCAGCACGCCTGGTTCGTTTTTGTATTTTTGCTAGAGACTGGGTTTCTCCATGTTTCCGAGACTGGTCTTGAACTCCTTAGCTCAAGCAATCCACCCGTCTGAGCCAAAGTGCTGGGATTATAGAAATGGGCCACTGGACCAGGCTATTTATTTTCTAGTTTTGGCAGAGATGGGGTCTCACTATGTTGCCCAGGCTGGTCTTGAACTCATGGGATCAAGGAATACTCCTGTCTCTGCCTCCTAAAAATGCTGGGATTACAGGCATGAGCCGTCACGCTAGGTTCATACACTCTTTAAACCAACAGCCATTAAAAGGTGCTGTCTTTAATAGGCAGAATAAGGCTGGCCACTGTGACTCATGCCTATAATCCCAGCATCTTGAGAGGCCAAAGCAGGATTGTTTGAGCCCAGGAGTTCAAAATCAGCCTGGGCAACATAGTGAGATCCTCCCTAATCTGCCAGTGCCCCACCATCTACAAAAAATAAATTAGTTGGGTGTGATGTAACACATCTGGTCCCAGTTACTTGGGAAGCTGAAGTGGGAGGATCACTTGAGCTCAGGAATTCAAGGGTGTAGTGAGCTATGATCGCAACCACTGCACTCCAGCCTGGGCAACAGAGCAAGATCCTGTGTCAGAAAATAAGTAAATGAAGTAATGGGATGGTGTTTCAGAATTCTTCTGCAGCATTGTGCTAGTCTCCTTAAGACATTGGGGTGGGCCAGGCACAGTGGCTCATGCCTGTAATCCCAGCACTTTGGGAGGCTGAGGTGGGCAAATCACGAGGTCAGGAGTTCAAGACCAGCCTGACCAACATGGTGACACTCCATCCCAACTAAAAATACAAAAAAATAGCTGAGTGTGGTGGTGGGTGCCTGTAATCCCAGGTAATCAGGAGGGTGAGGTGGGAGGATCGCTTGAAACTGGCAGGCAGAGGTTGCAGTGAGTTGAGATCATACCACTGCACTCCAGCCTGGGCGACAAGACGCCATCTTAAACAAAAAAATGGAAAACATTGGGGTGAAGCTGAAAGCAAAGACTTTCAACAATAATTTTTGTCTCCTTAAAAATGAAGTCCTGCTTCAACTTTGGCTTGAAGCCAAACTATGCTTCTCCTTACGTATAAATTCATGTTTTGTATAAATTCATATTGACCATCCCTTATCAGGATACTAGCCTCTTTTTGACAACTCTTTCAGATCTGTTTGGTGCGATTAGATAGATGCAAATTATAAGTGGTCATAAGCTGTGTTCTCCTCTACCCTCTAAAAGGAATTAAGTCCCAACCCCTAGTATCTCAGAATGTGCCCTTATTGGAGATAGAAGCATAGCAGATATAATTACTTAAGATGAGGTCGTTTGTTTATTTGTTTGGGACAGAGTCTCCTTCTGTCGCCAGGCTGGAGTACAGTGGTACGATCTCGGTTCACTGCAACCTCCGCCTTTGGAGTTCAAGCGATTCCCCTGCCTCAACCTCCTGAGTAGCTGGGACTACAGGCATGCGCCACCATGCTTGGCTAAGTTTTTTTATATTTTAGTAGAGACAGGGTTTCACCATGTTGGCCAGGATGGTCTCAATCTCCTGACCTCATGATCTGCCCGCCTCAGCCTCCCAAAGTGCTGGGATTATAGACATGAGCCACCGCAACTGGCCCTAAGACAAGGTCTTACTGGAATGGGATGGGCCCCTAATTCAGAGTTACTTATGTCTTTATGAGAAGCTGAATGTGTGGACACAGGCATACAGGAGAGAAGGCCACGTGATGGCAAGGGCAGAGACGGGTTATGCGGCTGCAAGCCAAGGAATGCCAAAGATTGCCAGCAAACCACCAGAAGCTTGAAGAGCCAAGGTTTCCCTTGCAAGTTTCGGAGGATCATAGACCTGCTGACACCTTAGTTTCTGACTTCTAAACTCCAGTCTTGAGAGACAATATATTTTATTTTTTGAGACAGAGTTTTGTTCTTGTTGCCCAGGCTGGAGTGCAATGGCATGATCTCGGCTCACCACAACCTCTGCCTCCTGGGTTCAAGCAATTCTCCTGCCTCAGCCTCCCAAGTAGCTGGGATTATAGGCATGTGTCACTATGTCTGGCTAATTTTGTATCTTAAGTAGAGATGGGGTTTCTCCATGTTGGTCAGGCTGGTCTCGAGCTCCCAACCTCAGGTGATCTGCTCACCTCGGCTTCTCAAAGTGCTGGGATTAAAGGCGTGAGCCACCGCGCCTGGCCACATTTTTATTGTTTTAAACCACCAGTTTGTGGTACTTTGTTACAGCGGACCTGGAAAATGAATGCACAAATATATTCTCTTTTCTGAATATTAGCATATTAAATATTTTTTGTTTTTGAGACAGAGTCTCCCTTTTGTTGCCCAGGCTGGAGTGCAGTTGATGCTATCTCGCTCACTGCAATCTCCGCCTCCCGAGTTCAAGCAATATTGTTGCCTCAGCCTGCCGAATAGCTTGGATTACAGATGCCCATCACAGTGCCCAGCTAAATTTTGTATTTTTAGTAGAGATGGGCTTTCACCATGTTGGCCAGGCTGGTCTCAAACACACACCTTTGGAGTGGTGGTTTCTCTCCTTTGCTGGGTAGAGTTGCTTATGATCAAGGAAATCTAGTTTTTTTTGTTTTTGTTTTTTTTGAAACAAGATCTTTCTCTGTTGCCCAGGCTGGAGTGCAGTGGCACAATTACAGGTCATTGCAGCATTGAACCTCTGGGCTCAAGCAATCCTCTTGTCTCAGCCTCCTGAGTAGCTGGGACTATGGGTGCATCACCAAGCCTGGCTAATTAAAAAATTTTTTTGTAGAGTTGATGTCTTGATGTGTTGTCCAGGCTGGTCTTGAACTCCTGGCCTTAAGTGATCCTCCCACTTTGGCCTAATAAAGTACTGGAATTACATGTGAGAGCCACTGCCCCCAGCAGAAATCTTTTTTTTTTTTTTTTTAGAATTCTCTGTCACATCATTCTTGAGATGTGGGTTTTCTGGCACCTTAAAAGATGAGGGCTCCACCAAATCTCTTCTCCCATGCATGACACTCATAAGGTTTCTCTCTCAGGTAGATTCCATAATGTAAAATAAAGCTAATGCTGTGGCCCAAACTTTCCCACCTCTGGGATTTACAGGTCTTCTGTCTACCACAAATGCCATGCTGAGACTGGAAGTCTTTTCACACCCATTGCACTGTAGGGTCTCTCCTCAGGTGGATTCTCTGGTGCACAGTGAAGCATGAGCTTGACCTGAAGCTTTTCCCCCACTTGCTGTAAGGGTAGAATTGCCCTTCAGTGGGGCCACCTGGTGGTGATGAGGGCTGAGCTTGGCCTGAACCTTCTGCCACTCTCACTACATATTACACTTTTGTTTCAGTGTGGATTCTTCCATGCACCATCCAAGTGGTGCAGGTAAAGTGCTCTCACACTCAAGGCAATGATAGTACCTCTCCCTGGTGTGGTTCATGGTGATGCCTGAGCTAGAACTAAAGCTTTTCTTGTACTTGCCACATGTTTGAAGCCTCTCCTGGGTGTGCACTCCCAGCTCTGCTGTGGCTGGAACTTTTCCCACATTCTTTATGCTAGTAGGGCTTCTCTCTGGTGTACGATGTTAGCACATCTTCACATCGGACCTCTCTCTCCTGATCACCTCTTCCTGGCCTTGCCCACCTTGCAAACCATGGCCAGTTTATTGTTTGATTTCTCCTCATAATTTTCTAGCACGTATTTTTTCACTGCTTTCTGCCTTGAAGGCCTTTTCCTTCTTCACATTAGAATCCAAAGGCAAAAGTAAAAAGTGAAGGTGCTAGTCTTGAAATAGGGTGTGGAACTCGGAAAAAAAATAAGTGGAACAATTAGATTAAGTTTCTTTGAATGAAGTAATTTACAGAGCTCAAAGGCAAAGCTAGAAGGAGGGTAGCTTTGGGTGACTGTTGAAACGACGACCCCTAGCAAGGTCTTTTTCATAGGCTCATATGGACTGCTTTTTTTGTTTGTTTGTTTGTTTGTTTGTTTTTTTGAGTTGGAGTCTTTGTCACCCAGGCTGGAGTGTAGTGGCATGATCTCAGCTCACTGCAACCTCTGCCTTCTAGGTTCAAGCAATTCTCCCACCTCGGCCTCCTGAGTAGCTGGGATTACAGGCGCCCACCACCACACTCAGCTAATTTTTTTTTTTTTGAGATGGAGTCTCCATCTGTTACTGAGGCTAGAGTGCAGTGGCTCGATCTTGGCTCAATGCAACCTCCACCTCCAAGGTGGGAGGATCTCTTGAGCCTAGGAGTTCAAGACCAGCCTGGGCAACAGAGTGAAATCCCACTTCTACAAAAAATAACAAAATTAGTGGGCTGTGGTGGCACATGCGTATAGTTCCAGGAGGCTGTGGTGGGAGGATTGCTTAGTCCAGGAGATTGAGACTGCAGTGAGTTGTGATCATGCCAACCTGGGCACCACAGAAAGGGTCTATCCACACACACACCCCAACCCCTGGAGCCTGCGTCAAAA